TCTATTAGTTTTAGATTACTGAAATGTCTCCCCATGAGCAACAGTCATAAGCAACATGCAAAATACACATAAAGCAATCCAGACTTCTAAAAATACAATGTAGTTGCATTTTAGTCAAGTTGCAGTACATAACTTTAATAAAAAAAATGTTTTCTCCATATTTGTTAAAGCTGTCACCATGTTGTAGCAGTTTGTTATGAGACAGATAATCTGTGAAAACAATCAATCTCCTCCATCTGCTTCCTGAATTACTATTACTGGTTAAAGTAATGCACCGTTCTGACCAAAACAACCAATCAGAACCAGGAGGAGGGTCTTAGTGCTGTCAATCATCCTCATTCACTCACTGCTAAATATGCTAATGGTGGAGAAACAACTTATCATTACAAGAAAATCATTTATCTGCCATCATTGGTAGCTATGCTAACTAAACTGAGCATTCACAGTTTGAAAATTGAAAATGCACAGCTCTGTGCTATGCTAGCTGCAGCACGGCATAAATCGAGGAAGAGGAAGGATGAGCAGCACGACATGAGATTGTGATTGACAGCACTAAAACTCTCCTGCTACTGACTGGTTGTTTCTAGAGAACCCTGGGAGAAAGCAGAGGAAATAGATTTTTCACAGATTACCTCTCGTATCATACTGTCACAACATAATGACAGTTTTAAAAAACATGTGAAAAAAATATTTATATAAAAGTTACATACTGCAGCTTTAATTTCTCTCAGGAGAGAACAGGTCAGGAGGGACATGGGTTAGAGCTTCTGCTCACTCACTCTGTTAAGTGGTAAAAGGCACAGGGAACAAGTTAAATATATTAATATATTGGTAATTCTTTTCCTTAATTCATTAAATGCTAGTGAAATGGAGGCAAACAGTAGTTTGTAGCTAAGCTAATTATGCTAAATGGTTGATAATCTCACAGTCTACTCACCTCTCTTGGAGAAAAACTGGGTTATAAATTAACACTCTTGCCTTTTTCTCTCTCTCCTTCTCTCTATTTTGTTTTTGAAAACCTGATTTTATAACTTTTCTTAGCAGCAGAGTAACTGGCACAGTGGTTTCGTGGTAGCTATACAGTGAACCTTCACTATAACGCGGTTCACCTTTCGCGGTCTCGCTTCTTCGTGGATTT